AAAACGTAATAAAAAGATAATAACAAAGTAATAACAAGTAACATCAAGTAACATCAAGTAATAAAGCCATTATAAAACAAATACGTAACGATAGTTTTAACACAAAGCCTTAAATGGTAATAAAAAACAAAGATTGAAACAGTAATATAAAAAAATGAATATATTTCTCCGGCAATTTCGCAATTCTCCTGCTTTTTTTTTGATCAGCAAAGGAATGATTTACTTAACCGGATGAAGGGACATGATTCGATAATTGCATTATGCCAAATATAGAAAACCTAAAGTAGTTGACAACGGGTCGGAGACCGGCATATAATCAAATTATCACACGAGTAATGTGATGCGACAGAATGTGATAATAACTATAATTTGTAACACCCAGGTTACATTTTAGAATCGTAAAAAAAAAAAAAAAAAAGTTTGTAAAAGTTGTGATTAGCAAAAAAAAGATCAAGTTTATTGACTATCAGTCTCGCTCGTACCCACTGGGTAAGCCAAATTTGGGCTTATTTTATATACGTACATGAATTAACCGTATCTTTAACTTGAATAAAAATGATTAGCCTTAAAAAATTAAGCAACGAAACATATACTTTGTTTAAGCGGCACCATCGAAATTTTTATAATGATTTGTTCACTAAATTTATATAAATTTATATTAACGTTATCCACTAAAATTATATTAAAGTAAGCTTCACATGCCAAACGAATACAAAATAATAGGTCATAATAAAAATAATAAAAATAATAATAAAATAAAATAAGTATACCCGATGATTAAAGATTTATCAATGAATCTTAATATACCCAATCTAAATCAAGTTCAACAATGCATTCAATAGTATAAAATTGTATAAATTAGAAAATCAACGTTTTGCAGTGAATGTCACATGCCAACGAAATAATTATTCTAAAAAGTTCACGTTTATCTTACGTGAAAGGAGAATAACATACATATATGCGAGATTTTTTTTTTTCTTTGTTACGAGTGAAATGCTTTTATTCAAAGGGTCAGACACGATCAAATGAGCTATTGGTGCCAAAGGTGATAAAAAAAAAAAATTAGTATTGAAAAAAGAAGAACCAATAAAATGATCAAATTAGATCACGACCATGACATTAAATACGTGATAACAAATCTTATTGTAAATGCTGTGTAAAGTACCTTGTCGCGTCACAAATTTGTTGGAATCACTAAAAAGAACCACGAAAAGCGAACAAGGACAAACCATATGATGAACAACAACGGTCTAGATGCCTAGATGGACTAAATGAATAGATACAAAAAAGATCAGATAAACCAAATACACCATTCGCGCATTAACTTACGTGGCAAATCGTTACATAATCTCTTCGCCTACCTTGATAATTGATCAATTAATTACCAATTAATGATAATTAATTAAAGTAATGGATAATTAATTAATTGCAAGTTAATTACAAGTTAATTAGCAAATTAACGACAATAATGACCAAAACAAAATAAACTTTAGTAATTTTAGTATTTGTAGAAAGACGCGATCAGAGAAAAGGTTTACGCGGCCAGATAAAGGTAGTCAAATATTTAAATAAATATTTTTAATAAAAATTCAAGTACTCGATCAAGTATATTCAAGTAAGAGTCAAATATATATTCCAAGAATCACAACATTAAAAAAATATAAAAATAAATAAATATATATATATATATGTATGTATTTATCATTATAAAAATTATAATAATATTTATAATAATATTTATAATAATATTTATAATAATATTTATAATAATAATATAATAATCATTGGATAACATGATGATGGTACATGCAGTGTTAACGGTTAACGGTAATTGACGGTGATGGTAATTGACGGTGATTATACGTAATCTTCATTATTCATATTCATTATTCATATTCATTATTCATATTCATTATTCATATTTAAGAGCGAAGAGTTAACAATAGGTACAGTATTTATAATAACCATTTATGAAACGCGCGCGGCTGAATTACAGCGGAATAATGACGGAATGCATCATAACGGACATGGATTATAATATTAACAGATAGGGGTACATTGAATATTGTTGAGAATAAAGCTCTAATGAGGAAAAAAGGATTCTAAGGTCATATAACGTAAGTCAAATGATTTAAAAATCAGGTTATTGTTCCTCATTTCTGGGTCAGTGACATTAAATAAGTTGGGTACTGGATTAGCCACATGCATCTTTCTTAGAGAAATAAAATGTCAATAAAATTTGAGTTCAAACTTTTGAATGTAAATTGTAGCAGATGACCAAACAAATGTCAATATTTGGCAAGTGATGCCATCGATTTATTTGCAAAGAAGGTTGCTTTTAAGCAAGGTCCCGTTTATTTTGATTTCTCTATAAACATTATATTGTCATGTTGATGTCGGTTTGTTTGGAAAATATTTACATTACTACACATTACTACACATTACTACACATTACTACACATTACTACGATTAAAGTTTTCGTAATCCGAAAGATCGGGATTATAATGGATTACATTATTAAATGATGATTAAATAATCGTGTCAAATCTAAAGATAACATAATCCCACATCAATAAACATCCATTAGATTTTATCGTAATCACACATACAATTAATAAATGTCTAATAAATGTCATTATATTTATATTTATATTTATATTTATACGTATGTATTATTGATATCATTAAATATCATTAAGATCATTAATATCATATCATTAGTATTAGTATTAGTATAATATTAAATATCACACGTAATCATCAAAATCATCAAAATCATCAAAATCATCAAAATCATCAAATCATCAAAATTACGCGCGACGACTGATAAGGTGACATCACCCGTCGATTACTGGAAAGCTTTGATTCCCTTTTTTGATGCTTTCTTTTTATCATATACTTGTTCACTCAGAATCAAACCTTGGTCTGAACAATCTTTGGTAAGGTGATTTTATTCTTATAAGGGAATTGTAATCGTTATGCATGCATCACCTCTTCCCATAAAAAAAAAAAAGTATCTTTAAGGTTTTTTTTTTAGACTATTATTGGAACGAATGTAGTGAGTATATATAGTGAGTACGTACGTAAGTTGGATAGTAGCAAATGTAAATGTAATATGTAAATGTAATATGTAAATGTAAATATGTAAATGTAATAATAAACGTAAATAATAAACGTAAATAGTAAATGTAAATAGTAAGTAAATGAATGTAAATAGTAAATGAATGTAATGATGAATGTAGTGAATGCGGTAGGAATGGTTATTATGATGATCATATTGTTGTAAATTGTTGTTTCTATAATAGTTGGTATCCGAAAATCCAGGAATGATTCTTCCTTTACGGACGAAATACTTTCCTCAATGTTCAATTTCGCTCATTCATTGTTCAATAGATAATTAACCTTTTTATTATATATATTCTCCTTACGTCAATACGTCATCGAATAATGTTCTTAAATATATCATTGTTTGCTGTAATAGCCACTTTCCCTAATCCGTTTTCTGCTCTTGGGAACTTTGTGCCCCAATCGACCAACTTCAGAAAGTGTCAAACAATAGATGTTTTTCAAATGGTACATCTGTAACTGACCATCTATGTTCCGGTAAGCATATGCTATATTGATATGCTTCTACATCTAGATTACTTATTCTATGCACCCGGTTGTGATTTGTGGAATTTCAACCAACAGTCACTCACCTTGTTGCCACATTTTCTTTCACATTAATGTTACCGTTTTCCCATCACCACACCCTCTGCTTGTGTTACTGCTGTTCTTCCGTGTCACCGTTTCTATCTACACCTTTCAATTGTTTTATATCCAACATTCAACAAATAATATTCAATCATACCACAAATCAAGTTAAAAGCATGTTTTGGATTTCAATTTGTTTACTTCAACCGTATGCAGTTGTGGATAATATATATATTATTATTTAAATAGAACCGCTTTTTTTTTTTCCCCACAAAGAAAGAGGACCCTTTTTTTTATTTCTCTAGAAAAAAAAAAAAAAAAAAAAAAACAAAAAAAAAAAAACCTTATATTCTTCATCCTTCATCTCTTCTTTTGTTTCTTCGTTTCTTCTTCATTATTTATACATTATATTATTATTATATTAAATTATTATATATATATATATATATCTTGTATTCTTTTATATTCTTATTTTATAGATAAAATAAAATAAAATAAATTTGAGCAATTTTTTTCGAGTTTGCTTGATGAATCTGTTCTCGTTAAAAATTTCTATATAATCTTTAAAAGAAAAATAAAATCAAAAAAAAAACAAACAAACAAACAATTCATTGTTAGATTTGTTTTATATATACCAGATACGATTAATTAAAAGTGTTTTCAGACCTCACGCTCGTACAAAAAAAAAAAAAAAATCGGTCACATATATATAATCCCTCTTATTTAAAAAAAATTTAAAATTTGTTAAAAAAACTTTTCATTAAAACAACATGCCTTTATTAAGCAAGATAAAAAATATACTTTGCTGTACCTACAATGAATCTATACTTGACAACGACGACGATGACGAAGTTACTTCCATCGTTGAACATTTGACCGACAACCGGCAAGAGGTTTCTGAAAAGCCGTTAGTAAATAATTCTTCCTCGAACTATCAACAACATGTTATTGTAAAGTCCGTATTAAGAAAAAGAAGAAACCCCTCGGTGTCGACCACCGGTCCGAGAAGAAGATATAACATATTATTATTTGGCGATAGTTTAACTGCTGGTAAGTTTTTTTTAATTAATTATTGGTGAATTGGGGATGGATTGGTTAATGATGGATTAATAGTAATTGATAATGAGTTAATAATGAAATGGATAATGAATTAATAGTGAAACGAATAATTAATTGATGGTGAATTGGTTAATGAAATTAATAGTGAACTAATTATTGGTGGTGGATGCTGAATTGATGGTGAACTAATAGTAAATTGATGGTGAACTAATAGTAAATTGATGGTGAACTAATAGTAAATTGATGGTGAACTAATAGTAAATAGTAAAC